GCACTTTCATGGCCCCACTAGCACGGACACCTGCACACCTCGTGTGAGCCACTCTGAGTCAGAACTGTCCTCCAGAACTTAAAACAGTGGCTAGAAAAGTAAGACCAGAGAAGAGGAAGCAAGCAGATTGGTGAGTGCCATCGGAACCAGGAAAGCCCAGTACAGCCGTTACCACAAATTGGCTGAGAGAGGACAGTTGTATCGACTTTACATCACCAGCTGACCTTTCATGATGGGGGATACGTGTGTGAGTATAAATATGTACATGTACATACACATATATACACACATATACATACACATATATATGTATACCACATGCATGTGTGCGTATCTGTCTATTCCACAGATGTAGTAAAATAAATTTTTTTTTTTTCTGAGTAAGATTTGCCCTGAGCTAATATCTATGGCCAATCTTCCTCTATTTTCTATGTGAGCCGCCATCACAGCGTGGCCACTGGTACAGGTCCATGCCCAGGGAACCGAACCCAGGCAGCCGAAGCAGAGCGTATGAACTTAACCACTAGGCCACTGGGGCTGGCCTTGTAATTAATTTTTTATATATAAAAGTATCTGAGGGAAGCTGTGCTGTCACAAATCATTGCCACAAAAGGCAGGGCCGACTCAAGTTTTGTGTTTATAGTTAATCATAACGTTTACCTAGGTTAAATGTTTTTCATGTTTAACTTCATCATCAATGAAACATTTTCTGAGATGTATTTTTGAGTAAGTAGTTTAATCCTGCAAAACATAAATCAGAATAAAATATGTCTCAACATTTTGCCTATGAAACTGTGGGCTTTTTTGGTATTAGGACTAGATTTCTGCAGAGAAAAAAGCAAATGAGAGCCATATGGAAATCAAAAGCAACTAAGTAGTTTCAAAATTTCTTTTCTGAGAGAAGGTAGTTGAGGGAAGGATTAAGTTAAATGTTCCTAATTTCAAAAGGAGGTTCAGGAAATATGCTTTTTTTTCCAATAAGCACAAATATTTTAGAATTAGATTTCAAGTGATATGGTGGTTTTGAGGAGGAAAGAAATAGCAGGAGAGGGAGAAACAGGGAAAGGTGGAGAGAAAATTGAGTCAGAGAGGGAGTGAGATACTAATACGAGAAGTACAGTGCGAGGGAGAGATTGTGAGGAGAGTCGGGGTGGCTTCCAAGTGTTGAAGCATTTTTGTCTTACCTTGCTTCACACTTGGGCTGTGGTTTCCGAGTGCTACCTCCTCTCAGCCCTACTCTTTGAAATGAAAACTATCTGGCTACTACTACCCCATGCTCTCTCATTCGTGGTGATCCTCAGAGCTCTAGAGACTCTCACTCTGTGTGGGGAACAGACGTGGGACCTCAGTGAGCATTAGTCTTAAGAAAAGAAACGGTAACCAGTGCAATGTCGCCTGAAGTGCTAAATCAAATTATGCCAAGGAACCTCACCTCCCCCCAGCTGACGGTTCTAGACCTTTTAATTCTCCTTTGAGGTACATTAAAGAAGAATTTGTCATCTTTGATCCATTTTACTCATTTCTGTGGCCTTGCCTACAATCCAAAGCTGAACACTTATATGTCTGGGTAACTCATCTGCCATGAACTTGGGGGTGTTCTGAGTTGCTCTCTCAGTCAGTTGCTGTGGGAAATGAGTTCTCAGTAGGACTTGCAGATACTGAGAACAGGGGCAATCTGCATTGTCTCTGTGATGCAGACTCTCTGCAGGTTGTAACCTGTGACTTCAAATTGAAAATGTGCAGATACAGAGAGCTGGCTTTGAAGGCCACTTCACTCTGCCTTATGCCAAATTTGGCTAAGCATCCTTTTCTTTTTTTTTTTTTTTAAAGATTTTATTTATTTATTTTTCCCCCAAAGCCCCAGTACATAGTTGTCTGTCATAGCTGCACATCCTTCTAGTTGCTGCATGTGGGACGCGGCCTCAGCATGGCTGGAGGAGTGGTGCCTCGGTGCGCACCCGGGGTCCGAACCCGGGCCACCAGCAGCGGAGCGCACGCACTTAACCGCTAAGCCATGGGGCCGGCCCTAAGCATCCCTTTCGTATAAGCTCAGGGACTGCATCAGATAAAAATGCATGCTCTATTAATTATGCTGTCTCCTTCAGCCCAGGTGCAATTCCCTGGTATGGAATTTACTGTATAGAGGCTACTGGTAGTTGTAGCAGCTTTTCAACCTAATTACTGGTCTAGTGTTTATATCACATAGGTGTTGAAGGATTTCAGAGGGTTGACATTGGGTGGAATGGGTTGTAAAGGATTCTGTCGTAAAATTCAGAGCTGAGAGAAGGTTTGGTGGTTAATCAGTGTACCTGCTCATTTTGGGAGTAGGGAGAAATTTGTCCAAAGTCACAGAGTTGGTAGTGACCATTCTAGACTGTTCTCCATCAGAAATCTACCTGGGACCAGCCCCACTCAGGCAGAGGAAATTTTGGAAGTGGAGAAAGGATGGGTCATTTCCAGAAGAACCAGATCTGGGGCCAGAGCAGGAAGTTGGAATGGCTTGAGGTCACGGGGTGTTCCCAGGGTGGAGGAGAGAAGTGTAGAGCAGTGAGTGAATTGACTTCATAGTGTGACTTCTAGCTGTAGAGTTGAAATCGCTGCGTGCTCTGAAAGTCACGTATCAGGCTGCCTCTGGCATTCAAACTGAAGGTTCTGATGCCTGCTTAATATCCTAAATTAAATTCCATAACTTTGGGCTCTGTGTAGTTTTTCCAGATCAAATGCAGGTTAAATTAAACACAATAAGCTTCTCAAATAGGCCAGATATATTTGAATATCCTTATAGACAAATATTAGGCTTAAAATATGAGTAGTTATGCATCTAACCTTGGAAATTTCCAACATTTCCAGTTGAATATAATTGTCAGACTATTTTGTCTTGCTAATTAACAGAGCTTGCTTTAGTGATCAGGGTTTCATTGACTAATGAAAATTTTTTTGGTGTTAAAAAATCAGAAGAGATAGAAATATGTAATTAAACTCTGAATTATTGATCTTCTACTTTCAGTATTTATTCTGAAGTCATGGAAATCTTCATTTTAGAAACCAAATAAACTTACAAGTAAACCTTTGCTTTTCATTTCATAATTGAGAGAATAATTAATAGATTTTCATAAAACTGAACTGTCATAATCCTTAAGAAAATACAAGCATGGAATTTAAAGATAATACGAAAGTGTCCCTCTAATTTTTTTCATTTATTTTGCAGGCTACAGGTTCCAGGCTTGCTGTAATTGCCCAGAATATAGCAAATCTTGGGACAGGCATTATCATATCCTTCATCTATGGCTGGCAATTAACACTTTTACTCTTAGCAATTGTACCCATCCTTGCAATAGCAGGACTTGTTGAAATGAAAATGTTGTCTGGACAAGCACTGAAAGATAAGAAAGAACTAGAAGGTGCTGGGAAGGTGCGTCCAACTAAGTATAATTGCTGACCTAAGTAGACTAAAATATCCAAATCAGTGTTGTGCTACTCACTACTACTTACTGTGCTCAGAGAACATTTTTATATCCGTTCCTCAAAGCCATCTTATTATTATTATTTTTTTTGTGAGGAAGATCGGCCCTGAGCTAACATCTGCCAATCCTCCTCTTTTTACTGAGGAAGACTGGGCCTGGGCTAACATCCATGCCCATCTTCCTCTACTTTATATGGGACGCCGCCACAGCATGGCTTGCCAAGCGGTGCGTTCGTGTGTGCCCGGGATCCGAACCGGTGAAGCCCGGGCCGCCGCAGCGGAGCGCGCGCACCTAACCGCTTGTGCCACCGGGCCGGCTCCAAAAGCCATCTTATTTGACGGTTGTTCTGCAGATGGAAACTGAAGAAAAGCAGCAAAACAAATTCTTAGGCTCATAAACTGACAATGAATTTTGTCAGGGTTTTCTAGTTTCAGGCCATTTCACACTCTTCCTTCCTCCTTCCCTCTTTCCCTCCCTCTCCACCTCTCTCTCTCTCCTTCTTTCTCTCAAGCAAGCTGAAATCCGTTCCTTTATTGAGAAACGTAGGCATCTTATACCCATGATGGGGGAGATTAAAATATGGAAAAGTCCTAAAGGTCTTTATTCTATCTGGCTTAAATTATTATTACCATTTTTTCCTTTTTATCATGCCTCCTCCCTTCCTCTTATTCCTGTTTATCCTTACCTTTTTTTTTTTTTTTTTGCCTGCATACTTGTCTATTCGTTTTTTTTTCTTTTTTTTAACAAATACTTATATGGCATTTTGTGGCATAGTGACCCTGTGAGGTATGTTCTATTATTAGCTCCTTTTTCAGGTGAGGCTGAGGCACAGGCAGGTAATGCCCCCAATGCCTGAGAGCTGAGAAGTCTCAGAGCCAGGATTCAAACCCAGACAGTCGTCCTCCAAAGTTGTGCCTCTGTCTGTAAAGAAACAAAGAGGTCTACTGATGGCAGAACATAATCTGATATCACATGATCTGTACCACTGCAGAAATGAGCAGTCAGAGAAGGGCTGACCCCCTAAACTGGACCTAACGTCTGGGATGGGGATTTATCTATCAGTGGCCCTTGCAAGGTTCCCAAGAGTCAGGGCAGGGACCCAGGCAGTGTCAGTGGCCGTGGCTCTCAGTAGGCCCAGGTGTCTGAGGTACTTTGTCTCTGGTCCAGGCACCTCATCAATAAGAATGAGGAAGAGGATCCTGGAGGTTGGTCATCACTACTAAGACTTTGTCCTCCACCTCCCTGCTATCTCCTCAGACTTTTTTTTATCCCATTTCCTTGGTATTCCTTCAGGAAATTCCTTTGGACCAGCTCTAGTGCTTCCCAATCGGTGTCTATGGGGAAAGACCTCATATGAGGCTTCCCTTCAGGCCGTTAGAGGCCCAGTCCTGAGGTTCAGCAGGGTGGTGCGGACCACAGGCGTCTGGCTGTGGTAGGGCCCATGTAACACTGGCCCCTGCCAGCAAATACATCCTGTGACCAGTCACTTCATTTAATATTGTACTTTGTTGTTTCTTCCCCCTATGGTGTTGACTCTTCATCTGAGGAAGAGATGGAAAAATCTAGGGCAAAATGTATAAAA